AAGAGAGGGAAATGCACGGGACTATGGTGGTGGCACACGGGTGATTTGGTGATGGGAAACCCGCGGGGATTACAATCGAGATGGAAAAAAAAATGTGCAAAATGATGTAAAAATAAACTTTGTAATAATAAAAAAAAATAATGTGTTTGTAAAAATAAAGAAAAATACTCAATATAATATACTTTAAATAATGAAAGATAAAACAATGTGTGTTAGTGGTAAAAGCAATTAAAAATATAAGATACTAATTTTATTAACTTACATTTGCCTCATCCATTCCATTTTCCTAATTTTTCTTTTCCTCTCCATATCTTGCCTTCGCTTCAGTTTAGAGAAATGGAATTCACTTTCTTTTTTGACTTCCATCACTAATTTTTCAGTATTCCTCCAAAACTAATGAAAATGAAAATACAATGTTGAAATACTGATTGTGAAATTGTCTGACTATAGACAAGAAATTCTATGATCTTGTTAGTAATATACCAAGATAGAAAGAGCAGAGAGGATAGACCCTGTAAAGGGATTTTTAACTAAGTGATGAGTGAGTTGCACACTAAGTGTTCAGAAGCTCCAGCCACAGAAAGACTGACAAAGTATTCCTTGAACAAACAGACATAATCTGAGTGTTTTAATCTCTGTAAAAACAGGTCTGACCTACTCTTAGAACTGTTGACCCAATTTCATCATTATGTCTCAAAGTTTAGTGGTTTCCCCTTATTTTAGCCTAACTGATTGACTGTTTTCCTAGTTCCAATTCATTCTCCCTCAAGTCATCCTATCTCTTTCTAACCAGCTAGCTAAAGGAGGGCAGTTTGCTACCTCCCACAAACTGCATTTGCCTCTATGAAAGCAGGTATTTTTTGTCCTACAGTGAGTAGACTATTTGATTCTTTCCCTAATTAAAAGGCAAAGTATTTCAAGGGTGAGACTACCTCTTACTTACCATTTTGCTCCTAGCATCTAGGAAAATGCCAGGTACATGGCTGGTATGTAATACAGTTTGTTAAATGTAAGACTACATACATTCATACTTTGATTATTTTCACTTAGTATACTCAGCATACTACAATTTTCACAATCTGTATATCAGGGACTGGGGATTTGCATGAAGAAACTTGATGCCATAAAAACATCTAGAGCTATAGAACCAGATCAAAATGCAAATTTACAGATATTCTTAGGTAGAAAGTGTCTCCATAAAAGGAAGATTAAACAGAAAAAGTGTCTATAGAAGAGATCTTGAATCACATATAAACTATGCGTATTTAAAAGTCACTCTGTTAAAAGGAAAGCCTCTTCAATAAATGATGTTGGGGTAGCTGGACCGCAGCATACAAAAAGAATGAAACTAGACTACTGTCTCATACCATATGCAAAAAATCAACTCAAAATGGATAAAATGTTTGAATGTAAGATCCAACATAAAATATATGTAAGGGAACAGAGATAAAACACTATGAACATGAACCTGAGAAACATCTTTGAGGATTCTACTCCCGAAGCAAAGAAAACAAAGGAGAAAATAAACAGGTGGGACTACATCAAGCTAAAAAGCTTCTCCCAGCCAAAGAGACAGTAATAAAAATGAAAGAAATACTCCTGAAGGGGAGAACATATTTTCACAGCATACAATGGGTAAGGGAGTGATATCGAAGATCTACAAAAGAGCTAATACACCTCAGCAAAAACAAAGCAAACAACCCAGAAAAAAATGTGCAAAAGAACAAAAAAGATACTTCTCCCAAGAAGAAATGCAAATGGCCAGCAGGCATATGAAAAATGTTCAACATCACTAATTTTCAGGGAAACGCAAATCAAAACCACAATGACATAACACCTTATAACAGAGAGAATTGTCTGTGTGAAAAAAAAATTGGAAACAACATATGCTGGAGAGAATATGGAGAAAAGGGAACAATCTTACACTGCTGGTGGGAATATAAACTGGTGCAGCTACTATGGAGAGCTGTGTGGAAAATGAAAGGCTAAAAATGGATCTACCATATGATCCAGTGATTCCACCCCTGCAAATATATCCAAAAGACACAAAAACACTAACTTGAAGGAAACCTATACTTCTATGTTTATTGCAGCATTATTCCCAAAAGTCAAGATATGAAAAGCACCTAAATGCCCCAAAACCAATGAATGGAGTGAGAAGATATGGTATATAAACACAGTGGACACTACTCAGTAATCAAAAAAGATATATTCATGCCATTGGTGGCCACATGAATGGAGCTGGAAGGGATTATGCTCAGTGAAATAAGTCAGAAGGGATAAGGAGAATACCAGATGGTCTCTCTTATAGGGAAAATACAGGGAAACCAAACAAAGGATCAGGGAAAAAACAAACTTGTAGGCAAACCATAGCGTGCAGCGAGGGGAGGCCAAAACATGGGGGAAAAGAGCATAGGAAACTATGGTGATGGTCTACAGGTGAGATGGTAGTGGGAGAAATATAGAGTTCATACCTTAGGCGAGAATCCAATTACTGCACAAAAATGAACAATGTAAGAAAAAGATAAAATAAAAATCACTCTGTTTAGTTCATATGAGTACATGTTAAATTATGCCACACCAAGAAAATTCACATGCCAACCCACCATTCTTTAGTAAGATATATTGTTCTCAAGAAACCTCACACTAAAATCAGGATTAATACAGAATAAACTAGATCTTCAGATCTGCTATTTGATATAAGTTTAGTAAATTGATGAGTACCAGAGAATATCTACAGATGGCCTAGATTCAAGGCTAATTATAGAAAGTAGTAAATTTAAAGGGGAAAAAAGCTATATTACCGTAACTGCACACAAAACTGTCAGTTAAATGATAAGTAATATTAAAAAATAATTTTAAAATTAATTTATCAAAAATATAAATTAATTTCTAAACATATAATTGAACATTAGTACTTTTCTTTTCTTACATTATCAGAAACAAGCCTCCAGTCATTGTTCTCTACACGATGATACCAGCCACTATGATCTTCTTCGTGACGATTATTATTTTCAATATGAGATGTGTATTTTGTTGGAAGTTTTGTATAATCTCTAGGGCTATTAGCACACAGATCTTCAATGGGTCTGTGAGTGAAAATCTTATAATATATGTCAGGTGGAAAGTTAACCTGTAGGGGGAAAGGTTCAAAGGACCAATGGAATCTAATTAAAAAAGTGGCATTGTTTTTAAAAATTACATCAAAAAAAGTAATAAACTATTCCAGCAGTAAAAGAAAAATAACAAGAGGGGAGATATACATAAATGATTTTCAGAAATTGAATAATTGTGAAGCATTGGGTTTTGTTTTTTTGTACTTTATTATTTAAACTTCCATTGTAAAAAATAATATAAAAGGGGAGGTGTACATATATTTTATAATAGAAATATCATTTTGATCTTAAAAAGTACCTTTTACATTTCATATAAATGCAAAATGTTATTTCAAACTACTTAATACGAATTCATCTATACTTACACCACCTAATCTGAATCGTACTTGAACACCAGCAGCAGCATCTAGAAGCTCTGCCTATAAAAAATATGTATTGCTGTTCAACATTCTGTATATTATTTCTCACTCCCTTATGTCAAAATAATTATTGAATACTGATTATTTGAGAGAGGGTCAAGTGAATAAACATTGAATAATTAATTTTTCATTAGAAAATAATTTTTAATGCATACTTAATAAGTTAAACAGGATATATAACAGGAAAAATGACAGCAAAGTAAGTTTCTTATAAAATATATAAATTTAATGCCAAGTGATTTTGTTATTCAGAAAATACAAATTTTAAGTAAGTCCTCAAATATATGATTGTTATATTAAATATTGTCTTATATTAATTCAGAGAAAAATATTTCTGACTGGTCATTCTGAGTTAATAATAGATGACCTTTCTTAACTAGTTTTGTTAAATTAAAAATCCATTTTTATGTATTTATTTTTAAAGCTTTATTTTACTTCATTTATGCATACAAGAACTGGGGTGCAAGTCAGAGGTGCAGAGGGTGAGAGGATTCACCAGAAAGATTCCCCACAGAATGGGGAGCAGAACAGGCAGATCCACTGAAATACAAGAGGAGCAGTGGCTGAGACAGGAGAGTGTCTGCTGCTCAAAGTGGATTAGTTCCCTGGGAGCTCATTTTATTCAACTGAGATTTTAACCCTGTGCTTCCAGGGAGGTCCCTAAAAATCCATATTTAAATTTTGTAAGAATTACATGTAACTATTCTTCTAAATTTGAGTACCTTGTACTAAATAGAAGTAAAGAAAAAAAAATTATGGTCCTCTACAGAAGGATAGAGCTCAAGCTCATCTCCAGATAATATTATCTAATATTTTTAATACTAAGAGGACATTAAATTGTACATTCATACAAATCACTGTATATTACTTTTTTTAAACAAGGCAAACCACTGCTTAAAACAGGAATATATTAAGTGATAGCTTCATGATTTTTATCCTTCCTCTTCTTAGTCAGTTGAGGTGATGGTTGATCATGTCAATCCAATACAAGACTGAGTTGGGTCAGTCTTGAATTGATAGTTTTAATTATCTATATCTGACTTGTCTATTTCTATTTTTCCAGTTTCTGAGATATGATCTTGCCAGATCTCTTTTCTTCAACCATGAAAGACTGTGGGAGAATAAATTACACTATGGGGAAGGTTTTAACTTAATTATCTTTCTACCATTTGCAGACTCAAATGAGGATGGGAAGTAGGCTGTGTATCTAAGCCAGATCCTTTCCCTTGAACTTAACTTGTCTGCTAAGTTTATGAAAGATTATGGAAAATTTTATTTTGTGGGCTAGTGTTACTTAAAGTGGACTTAGGTTTGTTGCAAATGTTTTATTATAACTCCAGGATAAACAAAAAATACGAACTTAAAAAGGAAAATAAAAGAAACAGAGCAAAGGCAAAAAGTAGGAAGCAGTAAAAAAAGCTAGATATCAATCAAATATATTAATACTTCTTAAATATCAGTGGTTTAAATATACCAATAAAAGTCAGAGACTGTTAGAGTGGATAAAAAAATTAGATTCAAATGATTGTCTACCAAAGGAAAAAAAAAACACCCATTTTTAAATATAAAAACAAAGAGTTGGAGAAAGATAAAGTATGTTAAATAACACTAATCAAATGAAAGCTGAGCACTTTTATTAATTTCAGACAAAGTTAAATTCAAAACAAGGAAAATTATCAGGGGTAAAGAGGAGCAGAATATGATAATAAAGTGGTCAGTATCTAAGAAGACACAACTTTCCCTAATGTGTAAGCACAAAAGAGAACATAAAAATATATTGGGCAAAAACTGATAGAAATGCAAGGAAAACTAGAGTAATTCACTGTGATCATTGGAGACTTCAATACCCCACATTAACTGACAGATTCAGCACACAAAATCGTGACATCATAATTAAACTGAACAACAATATCAATCAACTGAACCTAACTAATATGTACAGCATATTAATAGCATTATCAATCTTCTCAACTCAACAATCTTCTACAACTTACCAAGTTGTAACTTAAGCTGGGTCATAAAACAGTTAAACAAACTTAAAAGAATAGAAATTATACAATATATATCTCAGTTACCAATGGAATTAAAGTAGAAATCAGTAATAAATGGATACTTGGAGATGCAGCAAAAATAATAGAGGAAAATTTATAGTACTGAATACATATATTAGAAAACAAAACCCTAAACTTTCCCTTGAGAAATTAGGAATAGACAGGCAAATTAAATCTAAACAGAAGAAATAATAAAAATTAGAATAGAAATTGATGAAATATTAGCAGAGAAAATAAAAAAGCTGAAAGCTAGTTCCTTGAAAAGATCAACAAAAATTAATTAAGCTTCTGGTAAGGCTACTTATAGTTTGAAAATGCAGAAATGTGAAACAATGCTAGAGATAGAAATAGTGACTACCTTTTAGAAGGGAGTCAACAGTGAGTTGCAAGGCACCTATAGGTACTACTTTTAAGTATGAAAGTATTCTTCTGAGTTATGGTTACATGGGGATGTATTTGCTTGTGATGACTCAGAGAGATAATATATGTGTTAATATATGTGTTAATGTGATAATATTTATGCTTTGTGAACTTTTTTTACAAGAGATTAATATCCAAATAAAAAAATTTTTCAAAAGAAACAAATAGAAGCACATGGAGTTAAAAAGTAGCCACACTTTTTAAGAGAAAAAAGATGCAATATCAATAAATAATGTCCTTACCTCTTTAGGATTAATATATCTCACTATTTGATGTGGTTCCCCTTGTCTTCTTATATCAATCAGACTTTTAAAGTGTTGGTATACAGAGACATTCTAAAGGTCCAAACACATAAGATTTTATTATCAAAACTAGATTTTCTACTCTTATTAGCTTTTTTGCTTAGCTAGGGTAAAATGATTAAGGAAACATAAAGTAGATTTTATGTATATCACTAGATTTTAGATCTATTACCCACTCAGGTTTTTTTTTTTTTTTTTTTTTGGGACAAGCCAGGCAATATTGACCTTCTTACAAAGATAATATCTTTATATTTGCAACCATGTCACTAGTAATTATAAATTAAATATCCAGAATTTTGGACCAGGCATTTCTGTATAATCCAGAGTAATCAAGGAGACAAAGTAGAGCCTAGTGATTCAGAACACTGAGTATGGCATATTATTATCTGTGTTAAATTGTTAGTACTTATAAGTTATATGACTAGTAGTTTAACCTCTCTGCTCAGTCTCTTTATCTAAAAAATGGAAATGATAATAGCTATTTCATATAGCTATGGTGAAGAATAAATAAGTTAATATATATAAAGAATTTAGAACAACTTTTGGCAGAAGAAAGCTCTCAATCAATTTGATCTTATATTATCATTCCAGAATTTGCATTCGTGCAGTAATTTTACTGATTTACAAACCCTATTTACTTCAGTCCAGCAAATTTAGTCAAGCAATCTCAAGCAACTCTTCTATGCTAGAAATCTATTTTGACAGTAAACTTTTTCCTCATATTCTATTTCTCCTGTAAAATCCTTACTAACTCTTGGTTTGCTGATGTTACATAAAATCGAACAATTCAAATGGAAGTAATGCAAAGCACCAATATATCAATTGAAGTACCACTGCAATGGTTTGTGGGATATGGTAAGTCCATATCAACACAGATAATTTTCTTTCTGAAAGAAAAATAATTTCCCCTAGTAAAACTTTAAATTAAATCAAGAAAAAATTATGATGGTTGAAAATCTGAATAATATCTTCAAAAATATGTAGATTATTATATCAGTTATTTAATTATCCATAACAAGACACTACAAATCTTAGTGGTGTAAAACAACAATTTTCAGTGTGTTGACAAGGAACTTTTGCTTGTCTTGCTTTGTCTCAGGTATGTGTTCTCTTCAATTGCTAGATCAGCTGGAACTGGGTGATTTTCAAAGCCTCACACGTTCATCTGGGTCTTTAGTTTGAATTGTTGAAACACCTGGAATAGCTGGTCCCTCTTGATCCACGGACTTCCAGTTTGAGCTCCTTCATACCACTGAGGTTTCAAAGCACCAAAGACAGAGGAAACAGTAGAAGTTGTAAGGCTTTGTCTTGGAATTTATACGTTACTTTTTCTGTATTCTGTTGGTCAAGCCCAACACATTATAGAAAGTCAAGTCCAAAGTTCAGGAAGTATGTCCCTGAAAGACAGAGGTGAAGTGATCCTTCAATGATACAGAATGTCAAACAACATACCTAGTGTCTACTGTATTGGAAGGAGATGTAGCCAGAGTTACAGTTCTAAGATAGGCAGTTACCAGTGGTTTAGTTGGGTGTTTAGGGATTTGGAAAGAACACGGTTAGAAACTGGTGACAAGAAAGACTGAGGTCCTTATATACTGGAAATGTAGGTTGTTTCCACGTTTTCACTATTGTTAATACTGTTGCCATGGACATAGATATGCAGGTATTTTGGAGAAGAGAGTATTTCATTTCCCTTAGATACAGCAGTGAGGCTGCTGACCATATGGTGGTTATTTAATTTTTTGAGGCATATCCATACTATTTCCATAGTGTCTGTACCAGGTTACAGTCCCACAAAGAGTATGCAATACTTTCCTTTTCTCTTCATCTTTGTTAACACATGGTACCTTGTGTGTTTGATAAGAGTCATCTAATTGGTATGAGATTTTGATTTCCATTTCCCTGATGATTTCTATGGTGAGTGCTTTTTTCATGCACTGTAGTCCATTTATGTATCTTCTTTGGGAAAATGTTCTTCAGAAAATGTCCTTATTTCCATTTAAAATTTGATTTTTATTTATTTAAAAATACATCTCTATTGAGATAACATTGGTTTATAATGTTATATAAGTTTCAGGCATAAAGCACTATAACTTGATGACTCTATACACCAAAAGTCTAGTTTCCATCCATCATCATATAACTGATTTCCTTTACCAGTTTCATCCATTCCCCAACTCCATTCCCCTCTGATAACCACCAATTTGTTCTCTGTATCTGAATTTTGGTTTAATTTTTTTTGTTTGCTTTCTTTATAGTTCACATGAATGAAATTACATGTATTTGTCTTTCTGTCTGACTTATTTTTTTAAGATTTATTTTTATTTATTTATGCATACAAGAACTGGGGTATAGGCCAGAGGTTCAGTAGAGCAGGGGATAAGAGGGTTCACCAGAGACAGAGTGGGGAGCAGAAGAGGCAGACTGACTGAAATACACTGCTGAAGGGAGCAGTGGAAAAGACAGGAGAGGTCTGTAGCACTAGTTAGTTTCCTGGCTGGGATCAAACTCATTTCACTGTGGCTGGAGATAGCGCTGAGACTTTTAACTCCTATGCCACAAGGGAGACCCTGACTATTTCAATTTGTATGATACCCTCAAGGTCCAACAATGTTTTTGTAAATGGCAAAATTTCATCATCTTTTTTAATAGCTGAGTAGTATTCCACCTTGCAAACATAACACATCTTTGCATATACATACCATATTCTTCTATCAGTGGACACAGCTTTCTATATCTTAGTTATTATGCATAGTGTTTTTATGTCCACTTTTAAAGTCAGTTTATATTTTTAATTTTTATAAGTTATTTTCTATATTGAATAGTCATTCATTAATATGTCATGTATTGAATTATATAAGTTCCTGATATAGCTTGGATATTACCCTCTATTAGTCAGATGGTTTTCAAATTATTTTTTCATATTCCATTTTTTTATTTTGCTGATTATTTCTTTTATTGTGTAGGAGCTTCTTTTTTTTTTTTAAAGATTTATTTACTTATGCATACAGAACTGGGGTACAGGCCAGAGGTGCGGGGCTGATGAGAGGCTTCACCGGAGACAGATTGGGGAGTAGAACAGGCAGATTCAGGAAGTACACTGCTGAGGGGAGCAGCAGGCGGGTCAGGAGAGGTCTGCCTCGCCATGTGGGTCACCTCCCGGAGAGGGATGGAACTCATGCTGAAGTGGCTTTAGCTTCTTAATGCTGTGCTTTAACCAGCTGCGCCACCAGGGAGGGCCCAATTGTGCAGGAGATTTTTACTTTGATACATATCCAATTGCTTCTGGTGTCATGTCCAAAAAAATCATTACCAAGATTTGTGTTAAGGACATTTTCCCTATGTTTTTGTCTATAGTTAGTTTCAGTTTTTACATTTAAGTCTTCCATCTAATTTTTTTTTTTTGAGTGCAGAAAATTTTATTTTTATCCTAGGAAATCTACAGCCAGATACTTACATTTTATTTAAGGTTCACATTCATTGTCACTAAAATTTTCTTTCCAGAAAAAAGGGGAAGCTACTATTGGGATGAAAACGTTGTACTGTAAAAGTTCTGCTAATTTTAGGCCCCTGAATGCATTTTTTTAGTTAGTTGAATATTTACAACTTTAATTTTTTTTTTAAAGATTTATTTTATTTGTGCATACAGAACTGGGGTACAGGCCAGAGGCTCAGGGGAGGTGAGAGTCTTCACCATAGACAGAGTGGGGAGCAGAACAGGCAGATTGACGAAGTACACTGCTGAGGGCAGCAGTGGGCGGGTCAGGAGAGGTCTGCCACACCATGTGGTCACCTCCGGGGCAGGCGGGAATCGAACTCATGTAGAAGTGGCTTTAGATTCTCAGTGCTGTGCTTTAACCAGCTGCGCCACCAGGGAGGGCCTACAACTTTAAATTTTAGTTTTCAGTTTTGAAAATCTGTAGTATATGAAAATCTAGCTAATATATATGGTATATGTATCTCCAGCTACATTTATATATGCATTGTGATTTTATGTTTCTTTTCTATGTATATATTCTTATTGAGGCAACACTGGTTTATAATACTGTATTCATTTAGACTTATAGAATCAGACCTCTTCGGCATATGTTCCCATATCACACCCACTACCGAGGCGCCCATAGTCCTCACTATAGTCCACTATAGTCTCAGGACTACAGAAAGATTTCCAAGGTTTGCTATTGGTTTGGTTTTGTTTGATCCTTTGTTTTGTTTCTTTACAATTTTTGAGAGATGTAAGATCGGGGTCTGGCATCATACTTTCACAAGTGAATATCCAGTTTTCTCAAAACTACTTGCTGAAGAAATCTTTTCTCCAGTGAGCATTCTTCCCTCCCTTGACAAATATTAGTTAACTGTGCCTGGGTTTATTTTTAGGTTCTTAATTCTCTTCAATATGTTTGTATCACTTTTTATGGCAGTACTGTACTTTCTGAAATACTATAGCACTGTAACACAGTTTGTGTGATGTTCAGTACAGACTGATTACTACCATTTTGCTAGCTGTTTGCTGACTTTTGCTTCATCTCTTACATGCTTCCTTTGTGATTTGGTGCCTTTTTGTGATCACATGCTTTGACTCATTTATCATAATCTTTCCTGTGTCTACTATAGGTTTTTTTTTTTTTTT